GTGTGTGGGTATCACTGTGTGTGGGTATCACTGTGTGTGGGTATCGCAGTGTGTGGGTATCACTGTGTGTGGGTATCACTGTGTGTGGGTATCGCAGTGTGTGGATATCGCAGTGTGTGGGTATCACTGTGTGTGGGTATCACAGTGTGTGGGTATCACTGTGTGTGGGTATCACTGTGTGGGTATCGCAGTGTGTGGATATCGCAGTGTGTGGGTATCAGTGTGTGGGTATCGCAGTGTGTGGGTATCACTGTGTGTGGGTATCACTGTGTGTGGGTATCACTGTGTGTGGGTATCGCAGTGTGTGGGTATCACTGTGTGTGGGTGTCACTGTGTGTGGGTAATGCAGTGTGTGGGTATCACAGTGTGTGGGTATCACAGTGTGTGGGTATCACTGTGTGTGGGTATCACTGTGTGTGGGTATCACTGTGTGTGGGTATCACTGTGTGTGGGTATCGCAGTGTGTGGGTATCACTGTGTGTGGGTATCACTGTGTGTGGGTATCATTGTGTGTGGGTATCACTGTGTGTGGGTATCGCAGTGTGTGGGTATCACTGTGTGTGGGTATCACTGTGTGTGGGTATCGCAGTGTGTGGGTATCACTGTGTGTGGGTATCACTGTGTGTGGGTATCGCAGTGTGTGGGTATCACTGTGTGTGGGTATCACTGTGTGTGGGTAATGCAGTGTGTGGGTATCACAGTGTGTGGGTATCACTGTGTGTGGGTATCACTGTGTGTGGGTATCGCAGTGTGTGGGTATCACTGTGTGTGGGTATCACTGTGTGTGGGTATCACTGTGTGTGGGTATCACTGTGTGTGGGTATCACTGTGTGTGGGTATCACTGTGTGTGGGTATCACTGTGTGTGGGTATGGCAGTGTGTGGGTATCACTGTGTGTGGGTATCGCTGTGTGTGGGTATCGCTGTGTGTGGGTATCGCAGTGTGTGGATATCGCAGTGTGTGGGTATCACTGTGTGTGGGTATCGCAGTGTGTGGGTATCACTGTGTGTGGGTATCACAGTGTGTGGGTATCACTGTGTGTGTGGGTATCACAGTGTGTGGGTATCAGTGTGTGGGTGTCACTGTGTGTGGGTATCACTGTGTGTGGGTATCACTGTGTGTGGGTATCACTGTGTGTGGGTATCACTGTGTGTGGGTATCACTGTGTGTGGATATCGCAGTGTGTGGGTATCACTGTGTGTGGGTGTCGCAGTGTGTGGGTATCGCAGTGTGTGGGTATCACTGTGTGTGGGTATCACAACCATCACCAATTGTTGATGAGATAAACAATGTTTTTTTGGAACAAAATTAGTCACCAGTTTGTCAAAAATCAGTGAAACATGCACATGTATACCACTATGCCTTGTTTTTGTATCACTTTTGAACAAAATTGGTCAAGGAATTTCAGGGAAATGGCATTGGATAGACAGATAGATGAATAAATATTAAAACTCATTCCAAAACATACAAGACCCTGTATATCACATGCTACCACTTGCTTTGCTCACCCCCTCCCTTTATATGGCCATAGTGGCTATTTGTAGAGACATTCAGCAGGAGATGTGTTAACATACATTATATTGTCTGGTCTAGGTGATACTAACCTTAGAATATTGCACAATAGTTTCTTTATATTTATCAATGATATCATCAGCAGATAAGCAGTGTTTTGGTGGTTTACCATCCAGGCCATCAGAGAAACCATTCGCAGTATAAGAACCTAATAAAGTTATGAAAAATTCTAAACAAGGCAAAAACATGATTCTGTTTTTCTTTCATGTTTTTTTTTTTATAATTCTTTTACAAAAGAAAATATGAAACACACTTCGACCAAACATTAATTTGTATGTTATAGCATAACATGATAATAAGAGCAGTATTTTGTAACACTGCATAACACTTCAGATGTCTCTTCTCATTGATGTATGAACAGATCAAATTTTTTTACTGTGATTAAATAAAAGTGCATGTCATTAATGCTGAATTTTAATTGTGATATAAGTCAATTTGTTATTAGTAGTGTTTAACCTAGTATTTTAACTCAATCATTTTTTATTTTAGTGATGGTTGTCAATGCAGCAAGCCATCTATCTATCTATCTATCTATCTAAACAACTTATATAGCACCAGTATCCAAAACTAAGTTTTGTTCAAAGGCGCTGAAAGCGAACACTACAAATCTGTAGAGTTCTTCCACACTGTAGGCTTTGCTGAACAAGTAGGTCTTAAGTCTCTTCTTAACTATATTGACTTCAGTAACTTCACAAAGATCAAGTGGAAGGTCATTCCAGAGTTTTGGAGCAGCATATGAGAAGGCACGTCCACCATATGATTTTTGTCTGTAGTTAGTGTTACAGAGAAGCTTCTTATTGAAACAACGAAGACAGCGATGGGTGTGTATTGTTCATTTTAACTCAAGTGATGGTTGTCACTGCAGCAAGCCATTGTTCATTTAATCAGAATTATGAGTAGGTTTCAACTTAATGGTAATACAACAAAATGAAACCTACTTGCTTTTGTCCTGATATTCTGCACCCTAGTGGGACTGCCATGGAAAGTTAAATTTCTTGTTAAGGTTGTTGGTTTTTGTGGATATAGCATAATAACAGAAGCTGAACACATACCTTCTAAGGCGCCTGAAAGAAAAACATAGCAATCAAGTTTGAGAAGTCATAGCATGACAAATTTCTCAGACATACACCTTTACTGGCGTGATCTAACATGGAACAGCTTCGAGGTATGATGCAGTTAAACAAACAGCTGTCCTACCAGTGTTGTTTATGAACATAGGGGCAATATCAATATGTTAAATTATGGTGCAAAACAGATAAACATTTAAATTAACACTTCCACTAAAGGTCAACTCAGCTGTCACTCAAAATCTTGTCTTGCTTTCCTTACATAATTATTGTTCTAGATAATTCA